ATACACACATTTATTATATGTTTACTACCAGGGTGTCTGCTTTGAGGGTTTGTTTCAATTTTTTAAAGTTTCCAGCCAAGCACTTTAATAGCAACTAAATCAAGATTCTGGCTAGTTGTTAGGTTTGATTCCACATGACCTAAACAGAGCTGGAGTGTCAGCTTCCACAAGGAAGGGACTGTATCATAAATCCAGAAATGGATATATGAACAAGTAATTTATAGACTATTAACTAGGATATATCCAAAGATTAATTTTGAAAGTTGCATCATCCAACAGTGTACCTTACTGGACATTTGAATCTGTGTGTGTCTCTGGTTATAGTCATTTTTAGTTACTGTGAATCTGGTGAGCATTATAAATGATTGGGATAAAATATTTGCTGGAGGACTAGATATTAGCATGTGATTCACCAGCTCCTCTGACTCAGTAGATCCATGCCTGTCATGAGCTATTAATACCTTTAACAGAACATGAGTGGGGCAGAGAGACTACCTGAACCTGTACTAGCAAATATCCAGGAGCCCCCACTGGCTGTCTTTATGACTATATCCTTTTGTGATATGTAGCATCTGCTATAGTGGCAAGTTTCGGGCACAGGTGTGGCCTGATCATTGTTTCCAAGCACAGTGAAAGTAGATGATGATATAATGCAGCTGGAACTGATCCCAAGATGGAAGGGTGCCTCTCTCTACCCAAATCTGACCCACCCTTAGTGTAGATAAATAAGGGCTGAAAGACTGTGCTCAGATTCAGAAAGGCAGGATGGTGTGTAGTTATAGGTATTAGGACCAGCAAGGGTTTTTTACTCCATTTAGAATGTTAATGGAGGGTGGTTGCCATGTTAGATAGGATTGCCCTTTCTGTCATCTAGAAACCCACGTGTAAGCACCAAGAAGCTAGAGAATAGCTGGTCCTGAATAGAAATACCTAAGGATATAGATACTGTTTGTTTGGTTTTTTTTTAAGGGGGAGGGGGAAGGGCAGAGGGAGAGAGAGGATCTTAAGCAGGCCCCACGCTCAGTGCAGAGCCCAAATGCAGGGACACTAAAGTGTCTCACGACCCCAAGATTATGACCTGAGGTGAAATCAAGAGTCAGGTGCCTAACCAACTGAGCCACCCAGGTGCCCCAGGCTATAGCTTCTGTTTTTATTTCTGCAGCAGCAATGAGAACACAAAGGAAACTTCTCAACTTCATGCAATCTGGCACCTTGAAAGGTTAGGAAAAACATAAAAATGGTCCATTGTGGTGAATTCAAACCACATCCGAAAGGCTGGCAGTACAATGGTTTCAAAACGCAGATGTTCCAAAACAATTTATTATTCTTTTTTTTTTTAAAGATTTTATTTATTTATTTGACAGACAGAGGCAGCAAGAGAGGGAACACAAGCAAGGGGAGTGGGAGAGGGAGAAGCAGGCTTCCCGCCAAGCAGGGAGCCCAATGCGGGGCTCGATCCCAGGACCCTGGGATCATAACCTGAGCCCAAGGCAGACGCTTAACGACTGAGCCACCCAGGTGCCCCTATATTCTGGAATATTTTATATAAGATTAGAAATATTTGATCCTGGGGCACCTGGGTGGCTTACTCAGTTAAACATCTGACTTTAGCTCAGGTCATGAACTTAGGGTCCTGGGATTGAGCCCCAGGTCAGACCCAGCGGGGAGTCTGGTTGTCCCTCTGCCCCTTCCGCCACTTTTGTACTCTCTCTCTCTCTCTAATAGTAAAATCTTTTAAAAATATATATATATATTTGATCCTAGGGGTGCCTGGGTGACTCAGTCAGTTGAGCATCCGGTCTTGATCTCAGGGTCATGATCTCAGGGTCATGAGATCGAGGCCGAGATCGAGGCCCACCTCGGGCTCTGTGCTTATCAGGGAATCTGCCGGAGGTTCTCTCTCCTCGCTCTCACCCTCTGGCCCTCCCCCACTCTCCCTCTCAAATAAATAAATCTTTTGAAAAAAAATATTTGATCCTTAAATGTTTGATACAACTCACCTGTAAAAATATCTGGACCAGGTATTTTGTTTGTGAGTAAATTTTAAGCCACCAATTTTAAATTACTGATCTTAAATATTTATAGGACTAGCCAGGTTTTGTTTCTTCTTGAAACCATTTTGATACAACACATTTGTCTAGAAATTCTCCACTTTAAGTTTTCCGAGTTATTAGCATGAAGTTGTCCATAATGCCCTAATATTTATTTATGCATTACCTATAATTATGACATTTTTTAATTCTTTTTTTTAGCTTTTTTTTTCAGGCATCTTGTCAAAGACTTGTCTTTTTATTTCTTTGTTTGTGAATTCATGTTTGATGAAAATTCTTTGGGGCTTAGATTAAAGGCACATTTTTAGAGCGTACTTGTGTTTGCTTCTACTGAGCACCTGTGGGTACTGCAACCAGGGATCTTTTTTTTTTTTTTAAGATTTTATTTATTTATTTATTTGAGAGAGAGAGAATGAGAGAGAGAGAGCACGAGAGGGAAGCGGGTCAGAGGGAGAAGCAGACCCCCCCGCTGAGCAGGGAGCCCGCTGCGGGACTCGATCCCAGGACTCCAGGATCATGACCCGAGCTGAAGGCAGTCGCTTAACCAACTGAGCCACCCAGGAACCCAACCAGGGATCATTTTTAATGAATTTTTGGTTTGAGATTTTTCAGAATACAAGGAACGTGAATTCAGATTGCAAATCCATGTGAGGGCCAAATTGTGGTTATGAATTTTAAGAGGAGTTTGTTTTTTGCTTCTACCCAGAGGTACAGGCATCTTTCCTACTTGAATTTCTTTGTAAGAAGGGTTCTATTTTTTTCTTAATGAGGTTGTGTCCTTCTTGGTCCTAGCTATGCTAGATATTCACTGTGACCACTTCCCAGCTTAATGGACACTAACCTTCATTTCTGGCCCCTTAGCAGCCATAGATGTTAAGGACTAATGTTGGTCACCAGGGGATTAGCAAGTGACTTCAGGACAGCTGCTGGCTTCAGTATACATTTACTTTCTGGGGTCCTGCTTTTGCTTTTTATTTAGGGGGCAGAGGAGGCCTTTAAGGCCATCCTTCCTTTCTTCCCAGCTCAGCAATGCTTTTAAAATATATTATTATTATATTAAAATATAATTCAAAGATATTTTATCTAGCATTTTCAGGTGTTTTGTCCTGGAGGAATTTGGGTGGGGAGTAATCTAAGACTTTAATTTTTACATTTTCAAGGCCCTACTCATCTTGATCAGGTTGTACAGGGTGTAATTTTGGGTGTGCTATGCAGTACTTCTTTAGGTACTAGAACCACCCCTAGAAGTCTTCCTATCCAGGCTAAGATCCTGGTTGTAGACACTGTGTGTCAAACAAAATACATCTGTAGCCAGATACAGCCTACAGGCCTGTAGTTTACAACTTCCGATAAAAAGGATTTTATGATACAAAATTTGTTTTTTGTAATTGGGCCTTTTCAGTAGGTTGGTCATTCATTTCACCTTAAGTTTAAGATAACCCATGCAGAAGCCCTTTCTGGAATTTTACACGAGAACTGGAACTACAGCTGAGTTTCATAGACCTGCTGCCTCTCACTGCAGGGAGCCTACCCTCTTCTTTCAGTCCAGGACTGATGCCCATTGGTGCCCACTGCCCCCTCCTTATGCCCTCTGTGCGGCTCCAATCTTTGCCCCTTCAGGAAGGTGCTGGGGTAGAAGCCCATTCCAGCTCTTCCGACACAATCTCCTCCCCGATTTTAAAGCTGATGAGTGGCCCCCAGGAGAACCCTGACCCAGCAGAGAGTATACATGATGAGCATTAAGTACAAATGGGGATAATCAGGGGGACAGTCACAGCAGCTCAAGTCACTGTTCCTGGACCCTGGCCCTAGTGGTCAGGCAGTAGGAAGTGTCCTCACTATTGAGACTGGAACCATGTGAATACCCTCAGGTGAATCCAGTTCCTGGTCCAAACTATCTTTGCTCAGTTGTTCTTAAAACAGGAGAATCTCAGTTGATGGTTTATTTGACTGTGGCTTTGAGAAAGAAAACATACTCAGGTCTTGTATCAAACACTTTTATTCTTAAAGTGAGAAGTTCACAAAGGATAGCTATAGGAGAGTGAAATATTTAGAGTAGAAAAATTGTTGGTGCTAGCTAAACCTCAAACACTGTCATAGTTATTCCAATAGTACTTTTCCAGCATGGCAGATCACACTTGTTAGAATTAACTGCATTCTCTGAACACTTCTCAATGGATGTGCACAATGATAGAAGCAAACATTCAAGGATTCCTGTTTTTAATATCTTATAGAGTGGATTTATGCACACCCCAAAATATTATATTACAATACATCCAAACAATTCACATCTATTAAAAAAATATTTTTACTTCAAAGAAGTTGATAGAAAGACTTAAAACAAGACAAATACAGGCACAAAATAGATTGCTGCTTCTATGTGCAAGGTACTGGATTCTTGAATTGAGAATCCGTGTCAGTCCTCACTTCCAACATCACATCTAAAAAGTATGGCAGAAAAATAAGTCACCTTCAATATGAAGGATGCAAGTTGTGTACACTGGCAACATTCTCAAAGATACAACAGTATTACAAAAGGGATGCCAGTATACAGAGTGGACCTTCTTAAAAAGTCAAACACTCATGAGTTACCATATGACCCTTCGGATATTTGGGAACAACACGATATTCTGGCTTAATCAAGGCACTTGCAAAGAGCAATCTTTGTACTGAGTCCCTGAGCATGACGCCTTGATCACAAACAAGATCACTTATGAGGACTGCAAAGCCAGATTTGCTTAAACTATCCCCAAATCGTGCTTTTTCATAAATGTTTGAAAAGAAAGGCCTCATTTAAAATCTTGATTCTCCAGAGTGATAATTCACCTTTCCCCAATACCACCCAACACCTCTAAAGTTTGGGTTTTCTCCACAAGAATATATAAAATGGAATCTTCCCTCCCCCCCGACACAAATGATTTCCTTAGGAGAGAACTGTAAAACCAACTTAAAAACACAAAGTAACCTTACATTTTCTCACCAACAGCAAAGTATCAGACCGCTCCTACTCTAACTTGAGCTGCGGAGCCCTTTGTGTGCACTTTTCAGACATTCCTCATACCATTAAAACAGCTTGCCATCACCATCAACTGTCCTTTCTCAACCTTTCCTTGCCCAACGTGAAAGCTAGTGAATTGAGAGGGAAGGAGAAAGGGCCTTGAAACAGTATTATTATTATTTACAAAAATAGGGTTCCAGGCTGTTACTTGATCCTCCAAAGCAAAATTGGGCAGTATCATCGTATAGACCTCAACAATAAATTCTCAAGTGGCTATCTTTTTGTAGCCAGGTCTCAAAAGCTCAAAACTACATCTAATGAAGGAAAGTAGCAAAAACTTCCTAATATTGAGCAATACAGACCTAGAATTACATTGGAAATATGGCAGATCAAAACCAGTCCCTAGGTTACTTAATCATCGATAAGAGGCCAAGTTCTCCATTCTCCCCCAACTCTGCCATTCTGGGAAAAGCCCACTGGCCAGCCTTGGACTGCCAAAGATGGATGACTCTGACTCAGTGTTGGGGGGCACCTGGTGGAATGCACAGTCCTGAGATGCTGTCTGTGTCTGCACTCCGTCAGGTTTCCATTGCACATGGACAATTCTGTAATTCTGACCCTCGTTGTTGTCCCAGAAGACCTGCCCATTAGCATGGTAAGAAATGCAAAACTCAATTTTCTCCTCTGTTGGAATGACAGAGGGTAAGTCAATGGCAAATGAGAAGGTGTCACTATCTGAGCCACCATACACATTTTTCAGGTAGACACAGTCCACATCAGTGTAGCTTTTCCAGGTATCAAAAGTGATACGAATCTGAACCTTCTTCTCAAAGCTCATGTTTTTCACTTTCACAGTTCCAGTCAATGTTCGCTCTTGCAAAGAGCAGTTCTCCAGACAGACAAAATTCTTCTGAAAGTGGTTCCGAAAACTTAAGTAATCAGCTGAAGGCTGGGGAAAATCTAAAATCAAGTTTTTCTCCTCATGGAGTTTTAAGCCAGAGGAGATATCATTAAGGTCCAAGAGATCAAACTGGGGATCCCACACTGGTTCTTCTGGGAGGTCCGAGAAGACGTGGATGGCGGTGAGAGAGAGCCCCTTGGAGTCAGCAAACACAACCCGCTTCTTGGCTTGGTCGTGTGAATGCTTCCACTCATTCGGTGATTTGGCTTCCTGTTTTATATTGAGACACGGTTTCAGAGGCTTTAATTTGTTCACAAAATTTCTTCGTTGGAGATCATCATAAGGGCCCAGGAAACTCTTCAGAGGTGGCGAATGAGCCAAGCAGAGCCTCATGGCCACATCCACTGGCATGACTGAACTTGTCAAAGGCCTCGGATCTAAAACCTGGATCATTCTGGAATACAAAAGAAGAGGGGTTATCACCTGGACCTGGAATGCTCTTCCCCAGGTTCCAAATATACATGTACTATTTTTGTATTGACGTAACTATAACTAGCACAGTAAGCATCAGGGATGTGTTTTCATATGTAGTAAAAGAAAACAGTATTAGACAATCAGATTTGCATCCTGTGTCTCGCTATGCCCCTGACAGACTACAAGGCCATGGGTTAACTGCTTAAGACACTTGGGGGTCTCAGTATCCCCATCTGAGAAATAAAAGGGCTGGATGTGATCATCTCTAATACAGCTCTAAGAACCATTTGCTCTGTTCTGAGCCAGTGGTTCTCAAACCTGTCTAGTCACAATGGCCTGGAGAGTTGGTTTTCTTTCTTCTTTAATGCCAATTCCTGGGACTTAAAGCCACTGAGGCAGAACCTCTGGGAGCTGGGGACAGGGGCTTCCCAGGTGATTCTAATGACCAGACAGGTTCCAGAACCATGGTTCCAGACTCTGTGCTCCCTCTGGATGCTCTGCTGATTTTGCTGTTAAATTGATTACACTTGTCTGGAAAGGTAATCCACTTGAAAAGGAAAAAAAATATCAATAAAACTCTCATGGAACAGTTTTGAGAGTGAGAAACCTGGAAAGAATGAAGTCAGAGGATTAGCTTTGCACTTCATTGTGTTCGTCCTCATTTTTCACAAATAACCAACTGAAATGCATGTCACCAGTTCATGCACTTACAGAAAAATATTCATGACAAATACACATTTAGGTGGAAAAAGCTGATTACCTGAAAACTGTTTTTAATATATATTGTATATATGAATTTATGAAACACTTAATAGGAAATACACCAAAAAGTTACTTATCTCTGGGCAGTAGGATCATTCATGATCTATTTTTGTCTTTGTACTTTTTTGGTATTTTCTAATGTTTGGCAATGGATATTTATAACTAGCAAGATAGTAAAACTATTTAAAAATTTAAATATAACTATGCTCAGCAGTATTAAATTCAGAAGTGTCCATCAGGTTTTTTTCCTGGCCTTTAGCCCTCTATACATATTCCCAAGCTTATGGATTTTTCTCCCATCCTATCCGTACAGATAGGAGGTATGTGTATACTGTACATGACATTTTTCAATCTGTCTTCAATAACTTCACAGCAGCTCTAAGCACACAGGCAAATAAATGGTCATCACCACACAAAACAGATAATACAAGAACATTCACAGAATTTACTTTATTAGTCCTGGGATTTTTCTGGGAGGCCTACAAACTTAGAACAAACAAATGAAAGCTACAGCTATATTTGTGAATCTAATAATAGTTAACAGGCAGGATTTTTAGAGAAGTCTTCTGCTAAGTAAGTCATGTCTGGAGAAGCTATTTAAAGTAGTTTTATGGAAGGTTTTTTTGTTTTGTGGTTTTGTTTTGCATTTTTACTTTTTGCACTTACAGAAAGACAGTTTAAGGATCTGGCAGTTTCCCTGGAATTTTAAGTCCTGGCCAAGAGTTAAAAAATCATCATTTGCTCAAACTCCACGACTGAGTTTACTACGGCAAACCGTGATAAGAAAGGTGCAGGAGGGCGAAAGAATGCAGAACACCGTACTGCAGTTTTTCCCCCAGGCTAAACTACCCAACCAGCAAGGTCAAGGTGCTGTTCCCACAAGCTGCCCCAGTTCTTGGGACATTTGTGTGGATCAAGAGAAAACAGTCGGAATCCAAGAGGGAATCAGAACTAAAGCTGACTCACGTTCAAGAGTTTCTGGTTTGGGATGCTAATTACCAAAATACGCTGTGGCTAAGAAGCGCAGAGCAAATCTCCACAATCCGAGGCTTCCCCGGGGCCAGATTCAATTCTGCAGTCAGCCAGCTTACCGTCCTCCGGGGTCTCCATTTGCAGTGATGCCCGAAGGACCACGCCACCCATCCTCCCTGCAGTTGTGCGCTCCCCTCTGCTCTGGGGCGGGGAGTCTGCGGTGAACCTACCTGGTGCAGCTCATTAGGCAGAGAGGCGGCGGCGGACCGTGAGAGCCGGCTCTCGGTTGTCTGCGCGAGTTCGCACCGGGATCCCGGCCGGCCTGGTTCGGCTGGACCTCCAGCCGATTGCTGGTGCCGTGCGGGAGAGGCCGGTTATCTGCCCCGGACCACGTGAACCAGTCTCTCGGACCAATCACCGGGCTGCTGGCCCCGCGGCGCGACCAACCAGCGCCCGCCTAGGGCGCGAGCCCTCGCCCGGGGAACGTGACCGCCGTGGTGCGCTGGGCAGTGCTCCGGAACTCCGCCAGCTGCTGGTCGGAGCTTCGTAACGCGAACCCTGGGCGAGGGGGGCGTGGAGGCCGCATCGCGAAGCACGTAGCGGGTGCAGGCCAGGAGAGAGAGCAGCAGAGCTCGCCCGGGCTGGGTGCCAGCTCAGTGGGGCTACGGGAAAGGAGATGCCTTTTGCGTCTTGAGGCGTCTGTACACAGTTAAACCGAAGAGCGGAGAGTTGTGGGTCCTTCCAAATGTATATCGTATTCGAAATGTTTATATCGTTCACTGCTTAATGCATCCACTCATCTTCTCCATCGCCTTAGCCTAAGCAATCAGAGGTTGGGTGCATATTTTTTTTAAAGATTTTTTATTTATTTATTTGACAGACAGCAGAGAAGGAACACAAGCAAGGGAATGGAAGAGGGAGAAGCAGACTTCCCTCTGAACGCGGAGCCCAATGCGGGGCTCGATTCCCGGACTCTGGGATCAGGACCTGAGCCGAGGGCAGAGGCTTAACCACCGAGCCACCCAGGCGCCTCTGGCTGCATATTTTTTAATTAGGGTGAATCCAAAAATGCATCACAGAGTTACCAAGTTCTCTAACATGTTAATAAAGCATGCTAGACCCTTAGACGGGTGATGTGGCATTTGATTAAAAGACGCTTTGTATTTCGATCTATTTTTCAGTTTTTCTCCTTGGAAGAGAAAACTAAAGCCAGAAATGAAATGGCCTTTTTTGGTCACGTGGATGGTCAGTCACAGAGCCAGTGGTCAATCCAAATCCCTCAACTCAGTTCTGACGTCCTTTGGCAGTAAGGTGGAAACCAAAATGTTAAAATATCTCCCTGTAAATTTAATGACTCTCCCAAACCAGTTACTTTTGCTGAGGTCTCCTTACTTTGTTTAGTTTGGGGAGTTTTTAGACCATCAGTTACAACCATAAATTTCTAAGTCGAGTATAAATTATTTTTTAAAACCCACGTCCTAGCTCTCCTCTGTTAACTTCGGTATCCACTAGTCAATTAAAATGTACAAAATGTACAATGTAAAATGTAAAAAAAAAATCCCTATGTCTTTTAAATTACTCTCAAACACTGGAATTTTTAAAATAGAGTTACTAAAGAGAAAGACACCCATGCTGAGTATCACCAGGAAAGGTACTTAATGCTTGGGTTTGATTTTTGAAAGGAAAGATCCAACTAGTAGTAGATCTTCTAGCCCCTCAGCCCAACCAAAACTGGCTGAAAGTGACATAGTCTCTGGGTTTGACACTTAAACAAGCTACATGAATCTAAGCAAGTTCTAGCCTCAACTTCCTCACAGTTAAAGTGGAGAAAGTGAAATTGTTCTGAGGATTACATAAAACTGTGCTGATGAGAAAACTTAGGACAGTGTCCAGTGCATGTGTTCAACCCCTGGTGGTTCTCAAATCAGTACTCTGTCCCTCAGTTTTAGTATTCCTTTACCACAGGTGGCCAGTGCCTGAGCTATTATACTGATAAACAGCTACTGCTTATTGGGCCTTTACTATGTGCCAAACACTGTTCTAAGAGTTGTATGTGTCTTACCTATTTGTTTTTCAGAACAGCCCTAGGTGGTGTGTACTATTATTAATCCCATTTTAGAGATAAGGAAACCGAGGCACTGAGAGGTCAAGAAATCTGCTCAGGATCTCATAAAAGGACCTGGGATTAAAACCTGGCTGATGCCAGAGCGACAACCATTGTACCATATTATCTTCCTTTAATTACCCATCAACAATTAGAATGATAGGGGTGGAAGGTGCCTTAGGTATCACTGGCTTCAAAGTCTTTTTTTCACAAAGACTCTAAAACTCAGAGAAGGTGAGCTGCTTGCCAGGGACCGGTTAGGTCAGAGCCAAAACTAGAAAGAACACTGGGTGGAGTTTTTGACTTTATTCATGATCACATGTTGAACTAAAAAAGTGGATATTACCAATTCAAGTTATGGAGAAACATAAAATAAGATTGTATTGTGATCCCATTTTAGAGGAAAAATGTGCATGCATAGAAAATAGAATAAATTCTACCAAAATGTTAATAGTGCTTATTTTTGGATGGTGAGATTATGAGTAACTAAAAATTTGTTTGCCATTTTACTTCTTTGTATTTTTTAATTTTTCTACAACGAACAGGGACTTCTTCTGTAACCAAGAAATCTTTTTTTTTTTTTTTTGGTGGGCAGCAAAGCAAGGTTCATTGAGCAATAGCAAAGTGATAGTACAAAGCTCCTGAGGAGAGAGGGGACCCGAAGGGGTTCCAACTGGAGTTTCTAAGACTAGGGGGTTTTATGGGCTTGTTGGTGGGCTGTTTTAATCTGACTAACCCTCCCAGCGCGTGTCATCCAATCAGATTTGTCATCTATCTATCATATGGGAAAGGGTGGAGGACTCCTTCTAGGGTGGTATAAAATCCTCTTAAGGGTGGTTTCCTCTTGGGGGGGGGCTTGTCCCTCCCTGCCTGCCTTCCAACTATCTTTCATCATTCCCCCCTCTGAAGAGGTAACCCTAACTGCTGTTAGGGGAAAAGGGTGACGACCAATCGTAGCTACTTCCTGCTGGTCAGGGGTGTTGGATGGGGCAGCAGTCAGAACAGTCATCCTGTTCTATGAAGGGGTCCCCTGTAGATGTCTGGTTTCACTTCCACGTGAGGCTCCATCTGAACCACCACCATTTGGAGTTTGATGACCTTTATTCTGGAAGATATAAAGTGGGTTAGGGTATTTAGGAGGCAAGGCCCAAAGCACAATACAAGCCCGAGTACAGCCAGGAGTCCAGCAAGAGACAGAGGATGTTTGAGTGAACTCTCCACATACTGTGAGGAGAGGGCAGGCGAAAGGTGCTTCAAGACTAGTATATCCCTGCTCTGTTGCCCATTGTCTTTCCTCAGCTGAATAGCGGGATCTTTCCTGGGTTATGGAGCCATCCCAGACTAGGGGGGCAACCATAGGGGTAGTTGACCTGGCGGCTGATTTTGTTGCAGAATCTCCCAATCTATTCCCTTCAGATACTTCATCCGTTCCTTTTTGGTGCCTCTTGCAATGTATAACTGCTACTTCTGGGGGTTGATGTATGGCTTGTAGATGCCGCGTGATTTATACTTGATTGGAGAACCTGAAGCAGTTAGAAAATGTCTCTTTCCATATTGTACCATGGGCATGTAAAACCAGGAAGGCATATTTGGAGTCAGTATATATATTGACTCTTTTGCCCTTACTGAGCTCTAAAGCTCAGGTGAGGACCCTCAGCTTGGCCACTTTGGTGCTTGACCCAGGTGGGAGGGGTTGCTCTCTATTGTTTCATATAAAGAGACCACAGCATATCCAGTCTTTCTGGTGCTCTGTTCAACAAACGAGCTCCTATCAGAAAATAAAGTCCATTCTGGATCCT